CAAGTCCCCTGCCCTAGCCCCAGCCTGGGGCTGGAGGCTTCCTCTGCTCTGCTGCCTCGCTGGGTGGTCTTGGACAGTTAGCTGCCCTCTCTGAGCTGATTCTCATCAGGAAATGAGACTAAATACTTGCCTCGCAGGGTTGCTATGAGGGTGAAAGCAAATAGCACTGAGCTCAATTAATTTGTGCTCCTTCCTTTCTGTTTCTCCCCTGAAACGGCTGCTAGGCTGCCCTTTCCCATAGAGCACCTGGGAGACCAGGCCATCAATAACGGGACCACTCAAGAGCAGAAACACCTCTTCTCTGCTACAGAAAGAGCCAGCAGGGCATTTCTCAAATGTGGTCACTTTCCATGGAAACAGACAAGCAGTTTCAGGCGCTCACTCCTCCTCTCTCTTCCCTCTGTGACAGCTGGAAACCTCTTTCAGACATCTGGCTTGCTTTTCTTTAGTTATGAGCTGCTTTTTCATTCCATAAAATGTTTTACAAGGAAGGTTACCCCTGAATAAAAGAATTTGGCTGAGGCATAATAAAATGCAGTGTGTGTGTGTGCGTGTGTACATGCATGCACATATATTTGTGCTGGGAGATGTTGGGAAGACAAGCTGGGAAAATACAGTTCTTGTCTCCCTGGTGCTGAGTCTTGGGAGAGGGTGTGCAGGGGACTCCCAGCCAACCACGCTTGTGTGTCCCTGGATGAACTGATGTACAGGAAAACAGCCCTCCCCTCTGGACACCGGGGTAGGGTCCCCCGCTCTAGCTGCACATCAGAATTGCCTGGAGAACTTCAGAAAAGCCATCAATGTCTGACTCTTCCCCGGGTGAGTTAGATCAGAAGCCCTGGGGTACAACTGAACACCCAAGTTTTTTAGTCTCTCCAAGTCACTCTATGTGCTTCCCGGGCAAAATAGGAAATGGACAGCTGGGACTCGAATCAAGAGCTAGCCCCAACCTGGAACTCCTAAGATCCACTGAATTACCATCTTTCTACATCCTGAAATCCTGGCTAGTGAAATAAGGAGCTACCGGTCATGTTTATTCATTGGGATGTAAATGATGTTTGTCGTAGGTGAATTGTGTCCCGCCAAAATCCATATTTGAAGTTCTAAGCTCTAGGACGTTAGAATGTGACCATCTTGGGAGGTGCAGTCTTTAAATAGGTGATTAAGTTAAAATGAGGTCATTAATACGGGCCCTGCTCCAATATGCCTGGTGCTCTTATAAGAAGAAAACATTAATCGCCACCTGCTGCGCAAGCGCAAGGACCCAAGTTCGATCCCTGGTACCAAAAAAAAAGAAAACATTAAGACACAGACACACACTCACAAGAGGACCACGTGAGGACACAGCGAGAAGACAGCAGCACAAGCCAAGGAAAGAGGTCTCAGAAATAACCCTGCCAAAGCCTTGATCTTAGGCTTCTAGTCTCCACAACCAAGAGAAAATAAATTCCTGTTGTTTGGGCCACCCAGTCTGTGGTGCTTTGTTATGGCCGCCTGAGAAAATGAGTACTGTCCGGTACCATGTACTACTTAGCGCTTGCTTGGGCTACCGATGACAGAGACCAGAACACCGGGCCAGAGGACCACGTCCACCATACAATGACCTTTCTTTGAGGTCTGGGGACAAAGAAGGTCTTACAAAGATCTCCACTTTCCTTGTCCCCATGCCCTCTCCCTCCTGCTTCTCACACTCTCCACACTGTGCTAAAACCAGGATGAAACCAAACCAGTCAACATCTACGTGGTCAGGACTACTTTGTTCAAAGTTGAGAGAGCGCGTGCTCGAGGAAGGCAAGTGAGAAGCAGAACAGCTGCGACCCTCTCCTTCCCTCTCTCCGTCCTTAGCCCTACTTTGAACTTCTCTGAGGAAACAAAAGAAAATAGAGAAAGGAAAGAAATAGGGAAGGAAGAGAAGACCTAGCTTTCTTATGGCAGGGACCCCAAAAGGTGACCCACCCCCCTCTCAGCTATCACTGCCACACTCCAGCCCCCGCCTAGGTTTCTGAACAAAGAGGATAACAGGGATGCTGTTGGATTTCCACTTGCTTTCTTTAAAAAAAAAAAAAAATCATTGATCAGTTTGGACACTTCAGGCCAAATCTTCAACCTGGGAATGCAGTCAAAAGAACAGAAAACTGCATCCCAAAGAGGAAAACGGATAGAAGCCAAGCACATCTGAGGACGGGTTTAAGGATCAGAGGCACTAATTTTGCAGGCAGTGCTCTTGCCTTCCCTGGGATCCGTTTTTAATGCGGTGATGATAGCCTTCCAGTGCCCCCTGGCAGCATCTCAAGATCTTCAGGGAAGAGAGAAGGGGGGGTTTGGGGAGCCTGTGTCTCAGAAGGCCTGGAGGTAATTAGCAGGAGGGGGAGGAGGGGACTTCATGCAGCCTCTGGGTTATTAAGAGATGTGATGCTGGAATCCCCAGGGCAAAAAAATCAACGACCCAGGAAAACAACACCAGCTGACAGGCTCAGACCAAGGCTCAAGAGGAAAGCTTAGTAACTTTCCCAAAGTACTCAGCTGATCTCCCGGGCTTCCCTAGACTGTACAGGCTGTGGCTGGAGCCGCTGGCATTCTGACACTGTGTTTTACATGGATGCAACAGCTTCCCTTCTCCTTCGCAGGGCGAAGGGGTCCCAAGTTCCCGCCATCCTCCACTGGTTTTGATGTTTCCCTTATTTAGAAAACAAGCAAGCGTCTGTATTGTCAGACACGCTCTTTGGCCCTCGGCTATTGTTGTAAGGCTCCCGCGGGGGAGGGCCTGCTGTCTCAGTGTAGGCCTCTGTTCCATTTCTATACACTCCACCAAGTTCATAAAAAGGAACAGGACTGCGTGTCCCCAGGAAGACAGGCATCGAGCTTTGAGGCCACAGGGAATTACACAATCAGGATTCGCTGCTTCGAACAACACATCCAACTGGATGCTAAGGCTGACAGATCTGGAACTTAGGAATTTCTCTCTACATGCTTTCATCACATGGCTGGGGGTCCCTAAAGGGTCTTCAGGTTTTCAGACAAATTAGTCAAACTTGGAGGTCTTCATCTTTCTGTCTTCCTGAGACTTTTCTAACATGTCCTCGACCCCACATTATACAGAATCTGGGTTTGAACTTGAGTGTGACTATGGTTTGAAAGGACTCTGTGTTTTTTCATGTGCCCCCAAAAGATCCCTGACACTTCCTGAGGTCATGGAGAGCTACTCTCAGCAGAGGGAAAATGCAGCCCAGCTGTGGACAGACCTGGCAACACCACCCTCTGCTGCTGGTTCCTGGAGCTTGAAAGCCTGGAAATGGGGTTCGCAAGGAAAGCAGAAGGAAAAGGCTTTTATCAGTTTTATTATTTAAAAGAACTGTCAAAACATCCATTTCCTCAGGGTGTTGCCTCCCTGTTTGATAGCTCAAATCCACTGTTATACAGTTGCCACATAGACACGGGCAATTCTAGACTTGGGTAGTAACCTATTAAACTGTTGTAAGTATTGCAACTACTTCCCTAAAGACACGGACTTGAAGTACCTACAATCTGTGAAAACAATCCAATAGTTACATCAAAATTTGCCTGAAGCAATATTTGTTCAGTTGCAATGATGTCACCAATGTCAGCTTTTCATTCTTGCTTTACAATATGCAGGAGACAGAGGTAGAACTCAGGATTGCTTGCTATAGCTTAAATCAGCACATACAGAGCTTTTCTAGCAGCCAAGAAAGTTCTATTAGAGAAAGAAAAAGAAAAAAAAGGAGGGGAGAAAAAGTTAATAGCACTTGAAAAACCTGATGCCTTTCCCCAGCACATTTACCGCTGAGTTTTGATCCTCTGGGGCTTGATTTTAAGGGCCATGGTTTGCTTGCCAAATAGGCATATCTTGGCTTCCTTTGCCAGGCAAGAACACTGCCTTGATATAAAATATTCAAAGCAAAGAACCTCTGACCTAAGGGCTCTCAGCTAACAATGACATTCTCTGTAAGTAAACCAGAAACTCAACTCAGCTTCTGCTTTGCCAGTGTTCTTGGCCACGTACTCGTCTATTGCATAAATAGGACCGGGCAGTGACTCCATCTACCTCGATTCTACTGCAACAGATCCTGCTCCAGGGTCCACGCAAAGCCTGAGCTTGGCAGAAGATTACGGGGGAAGGAGGAGCACTGGACTCAGAGCTGCTTCCTGGGCTGGGCTGGGGAAGGGTAGCAGCCTCCAGCTTTGCCAGGTGGACACCCAGGGTCCTCAGTGTGGCAAGGACATGTGTTACCTTAATCAAGTGCTACTACTGATAGCATGTGCTCCTAGAGCCATCACCAACCTGAAACTTCTTTCACTTTGCCAGGCCGCACCTGCTGCCTCCAAACTATCAAAGATCTTTTGAAGGAGACTGGATTGGAGCTACCCAGTTGGGGTCCGTGTGTGTGTGTGTGTGTGTGTGTGTGTGTGTGTGTGTGTAAGGAAACTGGGATCAGAAATAGGGAGGGATCCTGGCATCTTCGGGCAGTACAGCCAGGCCCCTGAGTATCTTCTCTGTTCTGTCTCTCACCACATCTCCAGCAGCCCGCCCCGTTCTGCCTCTAGGCCTTCCCGAGTGACCTGGGCTCGTCTCCTTACACGAGCAGCCAGGAGGCTGACCGGGACGCACCCTTACAACGTGGGAGGCAAACTAAGCTCTACTCCTTCGACCACAGCAAGTGTATCTTCCAGGGCCAGGTGCGGCATCAGAGCCTCCGGGGAACTTGCGTGCATCGGGGCTGAGTGGCTGCATGCAGGAAAAGTGACGAGGTCAACACAAGGCGAGAAACTCTGAATGCATTACACACCCTTCCTCCTGAGCAGGAGTCTCCTGTCGCCACCCCACTCCACTTGCAACCACTTATATGCCAAGTGCTCCCCACCGGCAGGAAAACCGGTTAGGCGCCTGCTTCAGCTTCAATCCAACCCGCCCGCCGTGCCCCTCGGGGGCTGCCCCCACCTCGGGCTCTCCAGGGGCGCACAGTGAGGGCGGGCGCTCTTACCGGAGAAGTCCGTAAGCGCTGCGATCTCTTTGGAGCAGACCAGCACCGTGCAGTAGAAGAGGCGCAGGAGTTGCCCCGGCAGGTCTACCTGCCTGCGGAGGCCGGGATGCTGCGCGGGCTGGGACGCTGACGGCGGGCGCGCGTGTCCCGGCAGGAGCATGGTGCTCGGCGCGGCGCGCCGCGGGTCCGGAGCGTGCGGGGTCGCGGGGAGGAGGGCGGCGTCACATGGCGGGCAGGGTCCGTGGCCAGCGGCTCCGCAGTCCCCGCCGCCTCGGGCCCAGGGTACTAGAACCTGGTCCCCAGCTCGGCCCAGCTCGGGATCCCCCGCAAAGGGGAGGGGGCGGAGACCTGGGGCGGGGCGAGGAGCCCCGGGAAGGATCCGCGTAGTTTCCCGGGGAGGAAATCTCCGCGGCAGCAGCGCAGGAACAGCGAGTGAGCGGTGGGGAGAGCGTAGCCCTCGCGATCCGGGAAGCTCCCTAGGCTGTCGCGGGCGCGGGGCCTGTCCCGGCGGAGGGCGCCCCCAGCCGCGCTCCCGCTCTGCGCAACTCGAGCGCCTTCCACGCCCGGTTTCCAGCCCGGGAGACGGCCCCGCACGCCTGTGGCTCGGCCTGCGCTGGCCCCGAGCCAGCCTCGCCCTGGCCAGCTGAGCGGCGCGCCGATGCCCGTGACGCACTTAGGAGCCAGCGACGCGCGTGCCGCCCGGGCGCTCCGGGCCGGGGCCGAGCAGGCGCGGCGGGAAGGTAGGGTTCAGGAGGCGCGGGATAGATAACAGCACTGCCGCCTCTAACCCACCGCTCTGCACGCGGTCACCAAGCACGCAGCAGTCCCCATTTCACGGAATGGGAGACGGAGCCCGGCGATTTGCCTGCGCTCTGCAGCCAGGGAAAGAACGAGCTGGGGCGAGAGGTGGGGTGGTCTCCAGACAGGTCAGATGGCTCCAAACAGATCCAACTAAGTCTCCCTGATTGTCATCAGCGCTGGGGGATCTGACACTGGCCCGGCAGAAACAGCCACTGAGCGCTAATAATTGGGCTTTGTTTTTAAATGGGCCACAGCATCTTTAGGAACCATTTGATTACGCGCGGGGGGCCGCACGTTTGGACGCCCAGCCCGAAGGCCAAGAGCTCCGGGAACCGAGGACAAGCTCTTGGGAGCCCCATGGCAGCGCGCTCGGTGCACGGCGGCCCCAGTCCAGAGGACCGCGCCGCCGGCCGGCAGGGCGGAGCCGGCGGCGGGGCGGCACAAAGTGTTCCGGATCAGTGCCGGGAGGGCCTGCCAGTTCACGGCGCGCCTGCGGCGGAAACGTAGGTACTGAGGCCCGAGGGCGGAGCCGGGCGCCCAGCCCCAGAGGGCCCCAGAGCTCGGACGCCCCAAAGGCGGCGGGGAGGCCAGGAGACAGCGCACAGGTTCCCAGCCCTGGGGCTCCCTGCAGGTGCCCGCAGAGGTCCATACAGTGGGTTCCGTACAGTACTCCCACAGGACCGGGGTCTGCCGCCTTGGGGTTCTCAGCCCCTTCCCTGTCTGAGGACCGGGTGACAAATGCGAAATGTCAGTCGTGGTCCAGCTGGACCCAGCCTTCCAAGGACAACAATTTTTAAAATCTACATTAAAATAAAACCCAACCTTCTCGATATTCCCGGGACACAGATATTAATGCGCACTTCTTAGGTGAGGGAAACTGACCTTGGCGGGCAGGTTAGGATGCTTAACACACAGGAGCCACGAGGTAAAGTTTGTTCAAAGCTCAGGTCCCTCTTGCGCTTTCTGTTCTGTGCACTCAATCACCCAGTTTAGAGGTGCGTTGGAGACTGCAGTGAGCCGGGATCTGTGCTAGGGGCTGGGGATGCCGCCCGCGGAGGGAAGCGGGCGGCCTGAAGGCTGGGGATCAGCACACTGGGCTGTGGGTCTGCAGGGGCCTCTGGTTGCCAGCTCTTCACTGTCACTGAGATTGCTCCCCAGGAATCCTTCTCTATAAGGTCCGAAGGCTTCCTGCGAGGAGTTAATAAACTGACCCCGGGATATGCATAAAACAGGGCCTGAGACATAGTAAGTGTTCAGCCAGTATTAGTCACTGGTATAGGAGGGAAGAGAGGCACTGAACACTTAATGCCAATGAACAGAGTCGGGAAAGACAGGGGGACACAGGGCAATGGAGAGTAACAGGGAGGAAGGTGGATGTTAGGGAAAATCAGACAGCAAGATGGATGAGAAAGATGGGAAGAGTTGGCCAAGAATAGCAAAAGTTGAGTGTTTGGGGAAGAAGAGTTTAGCAAAAGGGACCAGTGTATTGAAATCCAAAAGGAACATGGCTCTGTAGAAGGATGGACAGAACACTGAGGTGGCTGGGGCAGAGGAAAGGGCAGGGCAAAGTGACCTGGACAGTCTGGCAGGTCTGAGCTCAGGACCCTGGTGGCCTCGTGAAACACTTCCATTTTATCCAAATTGCTTGCTTAGTGCGTATTTTTATCCGACGTTGGCAAAGTGGAACCAGAGGAGTGATGTGGCTGAGTAAAGCTTTTGCCCAGAGAACAATCAAAACCTAGAGTTAGATTCCCAGCGTTACCAGAGCAAGAAAGAGTCGGGGCGGGGAGGGGGGGGGATTACTGTGGGTGTGGAGTGCAGGTGGACTGGAGACATCAAAAGTGGGTTCAGGGAGTATATACCACCCTACCCAAGGATCAAAAGCAGACACTCAAGCAGATATGTGCACACTGGCATTTACTGCAACATTGTTCTCAGTAGCCAAACGGTGGAATCGACCCAAGTGTCCATCAGTGGGTAAGTGGATATGCAAAATGTGGAAGATTATTCAGCTGAAGGGTGAAATTTTGATACATATTATGACAAGAATGAACCTTGAAGGCATTATGCTAAGAGAAATAAACCAGACACAAAAGGACAAATAGTGTTGGAGATCACTTACGTGAAACACTTAGACTAGGCAGATTCATAGAGGAAAAAATGTAAGGTGGAGACTACACACAGAAAATCTGGAGGGAGTGGGATGGAGAGTTATTGCGTAATAAATACTGGTTTTCTTTGGGGATGATACAAAGGTTCTGGGAATAGTGGTGATGGTTGCACGTTTGGAATGTAATTACAGCCACTGAAGTCCACAGTGAAAAGTGGCTAAAATGGCAAATTTTGTGTCATATAAATTCATTAAAACATTAACATAGTAGACCAAAACACACTGAGTTGTGCGTTTTACTGTTTATCATTTATTAGTGCATATTAGTTATACGGATCAGATTAGTGAGTTTTATTTTGGCATATTCATACATGCATATACCATACTTTGATCATCCAGCCCCATTACCTCCCTTTTCCTCCCCCTCTCCCTCTGATTCCCTTCCTCCTTCCTAATAGTCTTCCTTCTACTTTCATGTGTCATCTCTTTTTTCCTCCTACTTTCCTCATAGGAGAGAAACCATGTGATATTTGATTTTCTGAGTCTGACTTATTTTACTTAACATGGAAGTCCAAATGACACAATTTTGTTCTTTATGGCTGAATAATATTGCATTGTGATGTATTGGTCAGCTTTTTATTGCTGAGACTAATAACTCCACATACACAACTTAAAGGAAGAAGGGCTTATTTTTGCTCACAGTTTCAGAGGTTTCAGTCCATGGTTGGCTGGCTCCCAGGCAGGAACACCCATCATGGCGGTGCATAGAGGAGCAAAGCTGCTCACAGTGGCAGGGAAGCGTAGCACAGAGGAAGAGCACAGTGGAGAAATGTAAACCTGGAAAGTGTGCCCCCAGTGACTTCCATCTGGGCCTCACCTCTAAACAGCATGTTCATCAGTGCATGATCCAGTCATCTCTCCTGGAATCTCTTAATCTAGTTGAGTTGACAATAAAGCTTAACTGTCACAGTGTATTGATACCACATTTTCTTTCTCCCCCCGCCTATTAAATTTATTGGTACATTTTTGGTATACAATACAGTTATATTCACCATTGGGATCTTGTACCATTACATGAGTCTCTTGCTTCTAATTTTTTTTTCCCTTCCCTTGCCCTCCCTTCACCCCCTCCACCCTTCCCTATTTGCAAAGACCTTGTTTCCATTTTTTTTCCTCTTCTCATATCTTTTCCTTTCTCTTTTTCCCTTCCCCCACCCTCCCAATTCCCCTGCTCTTTTAGACCTTTTCTTCCTGTTATACTATATCAGTTATACATTTTTTAAGTTACAATATCAAGATCTAGGAGACATTACCACAGATTTTACAGAATTTAAAAGAATATAGAAAGCATATTTCAAAAATCTGTTTTGAAATAAATTTGACAACTTCTAAGAAGTACCTTGGAAGGCAGATTAATGAAACTAACTCTGGAGGAAATATAAAATTTGAATAGAACCTATTAAAGAAAGTATATTCCTAGCTTGAAAACCTACCTATATGACAACAGCAGGCTCATAAACATTTTAACTGATAAATGATATCAAACAATTAAAGCAGAAAAAAGAAGGAACACTTCTCCCCTCATTTTAGGAACTCAACGTTGTGCTAATCCTAAAACTGAATAAAGATAATAGAAGAAAAAAGTATGAACATAGATAGAAATTTGTTTAACAAAACAAACTATTGGAAGTCAGATCTGGCAGTATGTAGAAAGTGGTTTTGTTATAGGAATGGCAGTGTTAATACCACATTTTCTTTATCCATTCTTCTGTTGATGGACATCTAGCTTAGCTATTGTGAATTAGGCTATAATAAACATGGGTATACAGGTATCTTCATAGCATAGTTATTTTAATTATTTAAAAAATATATCAAGGAGTTGTATAGCTAGATCAAATGGTAGCTCTCTTTTGAGTTTTTTGAGGAAATTCCATATTGATTTCCATAGTGGCTGTACTAATTTACTTCCCCTCCAACACTGTACAAGTGTTCCCTTTCCTCCACATTCTCTACCGCATTTATCATTGTCTGTATTCTTGATGATAGCCATGCTGACTGGGGTGAGATGGCATCGCAATGTACTTTTTTTTTTTTGTACTGGGGATCGAATTCGGATCCTTGTACTTGCGCAGCAGGCAGCGAAACCACTGAGCTAAATCCCCAGCCCATCTCAATGTACTTTTGATTTGCATTTCCCTGATGGCTGAAGAGGTAGAATGTTTTTTCATAAACTCATTGGACATTTGTACTTCTTCTTTTCAGAAGTGTCTATGAATTGTGCCTTTTAAATGGGTGAGTTGGATAGCATGTCAAATATATCTCCACAAAGCTGGTTTTTTTTTTTGGTACCAGGGATCGTCACAAAGCTGATTTTTAATAATTCAACAGCAACGAAGTGAATCTGCAGAGAGGGTCCTGAGAGGATGCCACCAGGAGGATGTGGCTGTACCCTGGGTTGGAGCGCTACAGACCCAGAGACTAAAGGGAGAAGTGGCCGAGTGGGACAGATGTTTAGGGGGGTGGGTGGGTGGGTGGACTGCACCATGCGACCAGGAGGTTGCAGGGCTTGAGAGAGTGGAGCCCGAAGGAAGATTCCCTGGCTTCCCTCTGCATTGCCCCTTTGCACTTTGCTGTTAAATTGGAAGATTTTAACGTCCTAATCAGCTCTCTTGAAGACTTTTTAGTTTTGTAAGAAAACTGACTGCATTCACCTTTTCAGCTTCCCACACCACCAAGTGTTTTTGTGCCCCACACAAATAGAAACAATACCCCCTGCCCTATTCCTTTGCTCAAAATATTACGGAATTAAAGACCTAAATTCTGGAGCCCTAAAAAACTTATAGGAAGTAGGGCACAATGGCACACGCCTGTAATCCCAGCCACTCCAGAGGCTGGGGCAGGAGGATCTCGAGTTTAAGCCCAGCCCATTGAGATCCTGTCTCAAAATAAAACATAAAATAAAATGGCTGGGGATGTAACTCAGTGGCCAAATATTTGCCTAGCATGTACAAGTCCCTGGCTTCAATCCCCTGTACAGAAGAAAAGAACAAAAGCACCCTCAGAGGACAGGAAAGTGGGGAAGAGAGCAGAGGCTTCAAAGAGAAGGGCCATGTAACCTCTCAGTCTGAGGCATGGAAGAGGAAGGATCTTTTCTACCATGGCAGTTTTCCCCTAAGCTGTTGAAATATAAAGCTGTCGTAGCCTCTCAGTTACTTTCAGCACAGTTACAGGGACTGGATTCAGTCTGATGAAGAGTGAATCAAAGAATAAAAGTGTTTCCAAAATGTTACTATGGCAACCCTTTGAGACAGGTGCTAACCAGTAAAGGACATAATTTATGACTCATTGCTAAATGAAGGGGCCCCTTTGAAAAATTTGTTCAGAATTCCAAGATAGCAACAGCAGAGCCTTAAAGCAATGCTGGACTCTATCTGTACACGGTGCCCTGAATGATTGACCAAATGACACGAAGCTGGCCCTGCTACCGAGGAAGGGCAGAAGCAATAAAGGTAGGTAGAAAGAGGACAAGGAAATTATATCTAAAGAATTGTACTTTGAAAAAGACTGCAATTTCTGC